CGTAGCAACAGCCGGCCGGGCTTTTTGCTCGACTTTTAAACCCAACTGCAGGGCTCACCCCCGTCCGCCCCTTGTCTCCTTCTTCCACCCCGCGGGGAGGTCTGGCGATCTCTCTCATCCCCCCCCGCGCGGTCAGGGGGCGAGGGCGGACGCGGAAAACTCGCGAAAAAAGGGAGCCTGACCGTGGCTGCTCGCGAACAAAGGGGGGCCCCTCCCCCGGGGGCCTGGAAGGAGGGGGGCAGAAGATGGCGCGCTGGAAGCCGAGGCGCAGGCAAGAGGGTGGAGCGGGTGTTTTTTCAGGAAGGGTCGGCGGAAACGAGGTCGAGGAGAGAAAGGAAGGAAGGAAGCCGTTGCGAGGGGACGGCGGAGGATCAATTCACCCTTCTCCCGGAAGGGTTGCGGGGACCCGGGTGGAGTCGCCGTCGCTTTCTCTCCGACGGGGGTCGCCACGGATTCGCGGGGGGTCGCGAGAAGTCATTAAAAAGGGGACGCGGCCGCTCTTGCACTCCCATCGAGGAGGTCGACGCGGTTCCATCCCCTCTGTCGAGGGCTCGCGGGGGGTCGCGTTCCAGATCGTCCGGATCCACAAAGGTCGCACGGGGTCGACGTGGGTCGTTAAAAGGAACAGCGCACCCTCGGTTGCGCTCCATCGACCTCGTCGCGGTCATCGATCAAGAGGGGTCGATGCGGTTCCGTCACCTCTAGAATTCGCGGGGGGTCTAGAAGACCAACCTTGGCCGCGTCCCACCGAAGGGGTCACAGGGGTTCCTATGCTGTCACGAGGAGTCATTGAACGTTACGACTTAGTCGCGTTCGTATGCTATCGAAGGACAGCGGGGATTCGCGGGGGGTCGCAACGCGGATAGGACGAGTCCACAAAGTTCGCACGGGGTCGACGTAAGTAGTTAAAAGGAACAGCGCACCCTCGATTGCGCTCCATCGACCTCGTCCTGATCATCGATCAAGGCGGGTCGATGCAATTCCGCCACCTCTAGATATTCGCGGGGAGTCTCGAAGACCTACCGTGTGGCGTTCCACCGAAGGGGTCGTCACAAAGAGTCGTAGGACATTACGACTTGATCGCGTTCGCGTTCTATCGGAGGATAGAGGGGGTTCGTGGGGGGTCGCCGCGCTGTCTGGCCCGGGCGAGGCTCGGCGGGGCGCGATCGTGAAAGTTTAACCGTGGCGGCGCGTATCCACCGGCAGCCCGTTAACTGCAGACACGGGACCGGTATGACGTAACCCGGTGGGCGGTGGGTGGGTGGCGGGTGGGACAGAGACGGATAGAGACGGAGAGCCCGGGCGTGCGTCTGGCTCTTCGGAAGGTCGGGATTTATTTTGGAACGGTCCGGGGTGGAGGGGGGGGGGGTGCGGGCGACGCGAGGACTTCGGGGGGCTGGGGCACGCTGGGGCGCCCGGTAGCGCCGACCCGGGGTGCAGCCTCATAACCGGGCCCACCCCCCACCCCACCTACTTCGCGATCGATACCACGGTGGCGGCCGGTGCGCGCTCCTCGCGTTTGAGGCGAGGCATTAATTTTCATGGAGCGACGCGCTCCGCCGATAGATAACCGTTACACCGGAACTTGCCTCTCGGCCGGCGAGACACCCCATGGGAATCGATATGGTGCACGGGGGGTTGTATCCCCCAAGACTCCGCGAGATTTCGGAACCGGACACCCGATTTTCGCGTTCATACTGATTTTTCAACGCATAAGAAATAGACTCGCATGAAAAATTTGCCATTATTAGGAAATCCCGCAGCATTGGTGAACATTTCAAAGTCATGGGCGAAACTGGTCAATTTTTAGTGCAAAAATTAATTGTATCTACTCCAGGGACCCTATTCCCCAGTTCGGGGGGTTGTATCCCCCAAGACTCCGCAAGATTTCGGAACCTGGCACCCGATTTTCGCGTTCATACTGATTTTTCTTCGCATAAGAAAGAAATAAACTCGCATGAAAAATTTGCCATTATTAGGAAGTCGCGCGGCATTGGTGAACATTTCAAAGTCATGGGCGAAACTGGTCAATTTTTAGTGCAAAAGTTAATTGTATCTACTCCAGGGACCCTATTCTCTAGTTCATACGAATCTTTTTTCGCATAAGAAATAAACTCGCAGACATTTGGTTGGCAAGGAGTGGCCTGCCGGAAAAACGCGAATTGGTCCAATTAAATTTCGCGCCATGTCGCCGAGCGAGCAGGGCGGAGACGCGAGTCGAACGCCATTTATTTTTTTTTTCGCCCCGTTCCTTCGCGAAGACATGAACAGGATCGCACGATTCGATCGTAATCTAAACCAGAGAGGTAGGAACCGGTTGGAGAGGAAGTAAACGGTGCATTCGATTTTTAGGGTAATTTTAAAGCTCGATTGCAATTGACCGCTCCCCGCAATTCGACGCAGAGATTCGCCATCGTGGCGCCTCCGCTTTTCATATGTAAGGGAAAAGTTTGAAATGGTTCGACCCACTTCGTGAAATCGATTCATCAACCCGTGTTATAAAATAGAAAAGGAACCCTCGTCTCGACAGGACTCGTTTAACAAAGATTTAGTGTCACTCGGGGCGAAATATATCTCACTGTAGCCAAATTGGAGTAAATGCGCGTGCGAGAAGATGGCCATTTTTTCTCTAGCAAAATCGATCGACCCCCGATAAACTGTGATCAGAAGCTAGATAGGTCGCCCTCCGATTTATTTTTTTCCCGCCGGGCTCGACCTCCAGGATTAACGAAATGACCATGGGGCCAATTTATAACGGCGTGGGACTAGCGATAAAGTGTATGATGCACGGTGCGTGCCGTGAATCACGGGCGCGTTAATTCGACGCCCCGATCCGCCGGTTGCAATCGTGTGAACGGGCTTTTAGGATGCACCGATGTAAAGACACCTTTAAGTCGCGCACGCGTCGCCAGGACTTAAAGATCCCATCTTCGATATATCGAGTACGTCCGATACCGAAGTATCTACCGAGTCGACTAAAAAGTCTTACGACAATAATAATCCAATTTGAAATTTTTTTTTCTTCCGAATTATAACCTATAAAATTCAGTTATACGATCTGTGCCCACCGATCAGGCAGCTTTTCAACGGCTCTCCGCAGGTTTTTTTCTCTCGAATTTGAAAGATAAAAATGCAAAGTGTCGCGGAACGATATTTGGTTGAATCAATAAATTGTTCCTGATTTCTGTTATCATTGGATTCTCTGAATCGGATCACGATGACACATGCGACCGAAAGTACCCTCCGTTATCACGTGAGCTCCAAGCCTGTTTTTCTTCCTTTCCGGTTAGGCCGCAATATCGGACTATTATTACCCATAAATAATGAATTATTTTGAAAGAGGTGTTTTAGACGTCAAAAAAAAATTAATTACCTATGGTTACACCTAATATGTCCGACTTTACCCGACGAAAAGTATACTGTCAGTCACTGGTGATTGACATGGCGTTTAACACGTTCCGTGCCACGTGTACCACCGATAATACGCGTTAACCTCGGGTGGTACACGGCTTGGCACGGAACGTGTTAACGACAGAAAAGAATCATGAAAATCGGTTAACTCGGGGAAAAGTTGCGCGTGACGGTACGTCAAGTAAAATACAGGTCGAATTGAGAATCTCCTTTTTTCGAAGTTTTTCAAAAATGGTAGAAAAATGCCGATGGGCGGAAAAGTGCCGCGATGATTCAGATTCGAAAAAAAGAAAAGTTGCGCGTGACGATACATCAAGTAAAATACAGGCCGAATTAAGAATCTCCTTTTTTAGAAGTCTATCAAAAATGGTAGAAAAATGCCGGTGGGCGGAAAAATGCCCCGATGATTCAGATTCGAAAAAAAGAAAAGTTGCGCGTGACGATACGTCAAGTAAAATACAGGTAGAATTGAGAATCCGTTTTTTCGAAGTCTATCAAAAATGGTAGAAAAATAGCGGTGGGCGGAAAAGTGCCCCGNAAAAAAGAAAAGTTGCGCGTGACGATACGTCAAGTAAAATACAGGTAGAATTGAGAATCCGTTTTTTCGAAGTCTATCAAAAATGGTAGAAAAATAGCGGTGGGCGGAAAAGTGCCCCGATGATTCAGCGGGCCGATCGAGCGAACGAGTGACCGACTAACCGATCAACGGCCCGACCGAGCCGACCAAGTGACGTAAACGCGATAGCAGGCTGACGTGTCCGACAGGAACCGGTGGTCTGGTGACCACGAGCGAGATCGGTAACGCGATCCTCCGGAGCAATGCAGCCGACGATGGTATCGCCGAAGCCGGCCAACCGGTCGGCAATCGGTGCTGGAAGAAAACCCGGACGAGAGACGGCCCATAAGAGGAGCGACGCCTCCCCGGGCAATTTTCACCATTTCCATGAGATTTCTACGCGACCTCTTGCGCTGGAGAAATCAGATATACAGGTTGTCTCACGACTAGTTGAAAATGCAGCCGAAAAGTCCCGGGCAATTTTCCCCTACGGAATACAGTTTGCTTGGAGTAAATATTAATTGAAAAAGGGCCAACCCAGGCCGACCCCTTTACGATTAATTATTCCGAGCGAACTATACGCGGCAGAAAAAAGAAGAAAAAAAAACCACTAGAGTTTTCTGCTCCATTTTCAATAAGGATAGTGACGAGCAAACCCTGGACACGAGTTCTGACCCCCCCTGTATGCTCTTCGACGGGGAATTCTCCCCAACGCGTCGCGATTTTAATTCATCAATTAAATATCGATTTTCAATTGAACCTTCACTAGTTTCGCTTGATAGTTTGAGATAGTTTTAAGGTACATTTTTTAGTAGGTGCATCGGGGAGGGCAATTTTTAAGGGGGCAATTTACCTTTGAAATCGAGCCGCGGACTCGACGGGACTAACTCGGCGAGCTCCAACGTTTGCCCTAAACTCGCAACAACTTTGCTCGCAACACTTTAGCCGACAAGTCGAGACAACTCGGTAGCTTCGTTGCACTCGCCCGAGTACGTAGAGAGATAGACTAGACGATTAAGTGGAGGAGACTTACATTGGGGACGTTGTAGCTGCTGTACTGTTCCTTGGGGCTGCCGGCGCCGGTCTGTTCGCACTGTTTGTTCTTGAACGCCCTGTAGTTCTCCCTGAGCTGTTTGCCGTACTAGAACAAATTAACAGTCGATAAATGAGAACGCAACGGTGCGGCGAGCGATAATCGAGATCGCTTGACGACACTCTCGACAATTTGCCGAAATATCTCAAGAGCAACGTCTGGCAAAAATTCGAATTCAAAAATCCAGTATCGCCATCAAGTTTATACAAAATTCGGAGTCAAAGCGGCACTTTATCGTCAAACTTGCTAAAATCCGAATTTAAAGCTACACTTTCAACATCGAGGCGATACAGAATTGATATGTAAAATTGTCCCGATAATGTTTCTCCTCGCGTCGTTATTAACACATTCGCGATCGGCAAATTTTTTCCGTTTCAAATACTGAGTACCGGCGAAAATAATGAAATTCTGAAACTGGTTGCCGCAAACTTGTATCGTTAAAGCAAGGATAAAAATGATAAAATTCGTGCGCCACGCCGGATAACAATTAGTGAGTCAACTAAACAGGACGTGATTCACGTCAGCGGCAATCAGGAATAGAATTTAAAATGACGTGAATTCACGTCAGCGGCAACGAGGAATAGAACTTGACAAGACGTACATTCACGTCAGCGGTCGCGAATGCGTTAAAATCCTATTTTGAAACTACACTTTTGTATACGTAACATCGAAGTGCAGCTGGGAGCTACGTTTCGGGACTTAGATTATAACTCAATTAATTATTTTCGATCGACGATTTAATCGAAAATTAGATGCCGATCAAGAGAAAGAGTTCCTCGCGAGAGATCGACGAGAGCGATTTAACGAATCGTTTAACGAGTCGTAAAGGCGTCCCGATTAGAAGCGGAGGAAGTGGGACAATCGGGATTCGGGAATGGAGGATGTTTTCAGGAAATCTCGGGAAAAAGGGTGGAAAAGCTCAACGGTTACGGTCCGTGCTCAGCTGCCTCGGAAAGTAAGGAAAGCTCCTCTCTGTTTCGGAGTAAACGATTTCCGCAGTTAGGAGGCGAGGGGGTTCGATTCGATTCGATCAATCGCGCTGTTTCAGCGAAGACCCGAAAAGAAGGCAGAAGGGGAGGTGGATTTTCGAAACGGCAGGAGGGAAATCCATCGATATTCAATGAAGCCGGGAGGTAAAGCCCCTGGGACCTCCGGAAAAGAATCGTCGACTAAAATTTCCTCGTCCGCTGCAAATAGGCTCCGGTGAGAAAGCGGGGACAATTTGCATCGGCGTCCCTTTTTCCTATTCCAGGTGGCAGGTGCGCCCTTCGGAGATAAAATCTCCCAGAGCTGGCGGACGTCCCGCTGCATCAGCGGAAACTGGGAAGCGGAATTATCGTCGATTTTGGAAATGGCGCAAGACCGACCCGCCGGAATCTTAACTGGGTGAGGTCGGATAAGAAAGGCGTTTCTGATGTGTTTGGAAGACTTTTTGTCATGAGAAATCGGTCGAAATTACGATAAAAACACATTTAGTGGGTTATCTAATCCTGGAAAAAGTGCAGAAAATTCTAAAAGTGCAAAATTTCGTTCGTGAGAATTCTTGAATGTTCATAATTTTATTTACTGTCACCAAATCCGGTATTAATTAAATAACGTACTTTTGTTGGAAGCTTTTGACCACCTTCTCACCCACCTTACAATTTTCCTCGAACGTGTCATAATCTCCAAAAAATATTCCCTCGTGAACAAATGCAACGATCCGGTACGACATCGTCCAGTCACGTGACGACTTTTCTACCTTGACCGAGAGGTCGGAGGGGAAACCGGATGCGGAAACGCGGAGGGGCCGAACCAACGAAATTCCATTGGAAATTGGATTTCCCCGGTCGCGACCCGATCTTTCAATTTCCTTCCCAGAAAGAAGCCCTCGGAGAAGAGAGAGTTCCCGAAAGGGTTCCAAGGATCTTTACGAGCAATTAATTTCGACCCCCCATGAGGCCACCTTTCGACGAGTACATCCACGACCTGCAGTTGCAAGGGTGGAGGTGCATTAAGGTGAAGTGAAACACGTCGAGGAACTTGATCGACGTCGATAAAGAAGATTTTTCTAAATGCTTATGTTGCCGACGTTCGTTTTTATATTGACAGCTGCGTCGAATTATATCGGATATTGTACCAAATGGCATACGCCACCTGTCGTTTTCGTACAATAAATATCAAGAAATCGAAGTGAAACTCCAGAAATCCTCTGGATTCATGCTTTCTGGGGCCCTAATTGACTGCAGAGGGACCCCCTGCGCCATCTGTGATTTCCAGGTCAATTAAATTTTCACTGCGAGACCTCGTATTCCCATCGTTTTAGCATATAAGCACATACAACACTTTTTTTACCTTTATCCCGTTCACATGCGAGTTTATCGATTGTTGTTGATGTCAGAGTGTTCTAAATTGTCGTAAAATTGTCCTGACCCATTCGTTTTTCATATCGAAGCCTTCGATAATTGTATATTGATCGAAATATTGAGAGCTCGACGCCATTTTGGTTCTGGTCTGGGTTGAGTTAAAAAATTTTGTTAAAAAATCCAAATTTTGAACGTGTCAGGACAATTCTTAGATGATCAGGAGTAATGTGTCAAAGTTTCGGACAGTTTGGTCTAATACCCTTTAAAAAAAGTGTTGTATTCGAATCGACTGATTTGAGAGGGGTTTCACTTCACCTCAGAGGGGACGCTTTCGGCCGAAAATGGAGGTACCCTCCCCGACTACATTTTGGATACGCATTTGCTACGATTCGGACTCGACGCGTCCTGGAAAAGCGTTTATCGGGCCGGAAGTCAGGACGAATCGAAACGCCGCGGTCTGCACAATGGTCCAGACCGAAGATAATTTAACAGGGGTGATCTCCCCGAGTCGAAGTTTTGTCATTTCCTGCGTCGCCCCTACTGCCACGCACCTGAAGGGGTGCGTAGATCAATTCGCATTCGATTGCTCGAGATGAACGGACCATTAATCGCCTAAAAATTCGAGAAAATACACGGAAAGAAAATGACATTTCACCCCCAAATCAAACGAACGGCACATAATAATAGCTGGTAAAAAGGCATAGCAATCACGAATATAATTTCCATTCTCCAAGTGAATTATTATCTCTTTCGTTATCCATCTAACAAAAATATTTTCCTGTCCCATCTTCAATCGTGCACGTATACACTGAGAAAAAAAAAATATTAGTTGACTGAAGCAAATATATATTATTGCCTGAATCACATATAACTGCAAGAGACAATGATTTCACCGAGAAGAAAAATAATACCCTCGTTTTAAACTACTTTTCTTTACTCTTCCTGACATTCCTTTGGACGCATCTCATCGCTGGATTTCGTTGTAGCAATGCATATTTATTCGAGTCGACCTTTTTTTTTCACGGTGTACCAAGGCAAGTAAAACCATTTATTCCAACTGTGACCGACTTTTCCGGGGTACTTTCGTCTTTTGACTTTCCAGTGACCAAGTCAATTCGTAACAGACACGAGGGTCGAACCGACGTACGAATGATTACGTAAGTTCATTAGTCGCGGGTAAGTAGATACGGAGCAGCGAGGCCCAGCAAATAATTAATGACCGGTGAGACGTCTGCCGATAATGAAGCGCCGGTAAACAGGGACGTTATTAACGCAGTTCCGCCGGATTGACACAAGCCCTAATTAATCGATGACCGATTGGACGGGGGGCCGCGAAAAAGCCGGACTTCCATCAATTCCTGGTTTTCCAGGGCGAGTGAGGAAAAAATTCTGGCACGGTTCCGACAGCCACCAAAAAATCCCTGCAAATTATAAGAAGGCTCCGGAGTCTGCGTCTAGGGCGTGGTTATTTCTCTCTCTCTCTCTCTCTTTTTTTCCCCTATTTTTATGAATTCGTACACACGCTCCGAGACAAGGCGAGACAAAGCTGACGTCTCGACGTCGTGCTGGTACCAGCAGCGGAGCACGTGCACGCACATCGGGGCTTGTTGGAGTAGAATTTCGTGCCGAAGGTGCACGGAAAAAAAGGACGTCTTTATTCTTACCACAGGACAGTGCTGACAAGACTTTGCTCTTATTGCAGTAATAATAATGATAGCATAAAAAAAAATACGTACGAGTAGACGAGGAACATTTTTGCAAGTGTAGATAGCAGCCAAGAAATGTGGCTACCACTTAATCAAATGAGCGACGTATGATTACCCCTGATAAAAAAAAAAACAATGCAGCGATGAATTTATCTCGCGTTTCCCAGTGAAAGTACCGTGATTTCAGATGCCATATTCACATAACAACACATCTTTCCACATGTGCCGGGGTATGTAGAATTTTCGTCAGGACCGTGAAGAATTTCTCCGCGTCCAAGACAAGATGGCGGCCGGAAGTACGGGGTAAAAGTCGAGGAAAGTCCCGTCTGGCCGTAAAGAGCCTCGGAACGCACCACCCCGCGAGGCCTCCTTTCTTGGCTAAGGATGAAAGGGTTACAAAGACACTCCCCCGCGGAAACGACCGAGCACTTCTCGCGCCTCCTCTCCGCGCTTTTCGGCGGGCCGAAAGGGCTGAAGACGTCGGCGACCGGCGAACGAGATAGCGCGAGAGAGAGGGACGGATGCGCCGGGCGGCGCGCTAGAGGGAGAGGGAGATACCCCGGCTAAGCAAGCGGGATAGGCACGCTCAACCTAGACATTGCTTCGGGCTTTGAAGCGAGCCTATCGGAGCAGTCGCAGCTTCCGAGTGCACGTACGTCGGAGGGATGCCGGGCGGGGGTGGCTCTGGACCACTAGAGACCGAGCCGGGCTCTCGAGGGTGGTCTGAGCCTCCACTTCGCGAAAGAATGGAGCCCCTAAAGAGTTGCATAATAGGGCTGCGCCGGAGGTGCATGCCCGCCACGGACCGGAACTCGTTACTTAGTTGCCAAGGAGGGCGAGAGGGAGAGGGACGACCCTCGTCGATTCGCGCGTGGGCACGAATCTCGCGGGAACCTTCTCTCTCTCTCCCCCTAAACGCCGAAAAAGGGGTCCGGAGGCTGGGATAGAGCATGATGCACCTCGAACGGAGTAAGATAGGAGCCGATGGATGTTTCGAATTGATCGCAAAGCGTAACGTAGGAATTTACAGCGATAAACGAAAAAGTCTGACGATACTTGGCAACTTTTAGTAACAATGGAAAAAGTCGAGGTTATTCATCGGTTTGGCCAATTTTCACAATTAAATCTGTCGGTTAATGGTTTCGTCAATGTTCACTGGATAGCGACGGAAAAAGTCGAATATTATTGCCTCGGTCAATTTTCGTCATGAAGACAATTTGACGTTAAGGTGAAGTGAAACACGTCGAGAAACTTGATCGACGTCGGTAAAGAAGATTTTTCTAAATGCCTAAGTTGCCGACGTTGGTTTTTATATTGACAGCTGTGTCGAATTATATTGCGTATTGTACTAAATGGCATACTCCACCTGACGTTTTCAAACATTTTTTTCCAAAAATCCAAATTTTGAACGTGTCAGGACAATTCTTAGACGATCAGGAATGATGTGTCAAAGTTTCGGACAGTTTGGTCTAATACCCTTAAAAAAAAGTGCTGTATTCGAATCGACTAATTTGAAGGGGGTTTCAACTTCACCTTAAGGCTGACGTGTTCGCCAATTTGGCACTATGAACGGCTTGCGAATGCGTGGAAATTCTCCTGGGAATTTAGACTCGAGTCTCACGTGGGAGATAGGAATCGGAGGTGGAAAGAGAGCCGCGAAGAATGGCTACGGTAAGGCTGTGTATTAAGCAGTCTGTCACCTTGGCGAGCCTCATGGCGGTGATCCAGCAGGTGCGAGACTTCTCGCTCTGGAAGGCTATGACTTTGAGGCCGGGTTCGCCAGCCTCGGTGTCTTCGGCTTCCGCGTTGCTGGACGGTCTGAGACAAGCGCCCCACTCGAAGGGGGCACCGAAGTGTCTCTTTGCGTTCGGAATCCTGTAGATGTGATAGTCCGACAGGTGAGCGAGCGGGGTCAGTTGATCGGGGTCCTGCAACTGAACAAAAACGACGCCCGGTCAGTATCCATCGCCATCCACCGTCAAATCTTAAACATCGACGATATAAATGGTCTCTCTACTTCTAGATACGTCTAATGGAACGACGCTTGACAATATTTCCCGGACAAAAAGTTCCTGAAAAATCGCGGAGGGTCTCGACTCGAGACGGAGGGGAGCCCGGGAGGTCCATGCGCAGGACAGGAAGACCCTTGAGAGGGCAAGAAACATCTTGGCAGCGCTCGGCCATTATTTATCATTGCTAAGGTCGAAAACTGCATCCGCCAAGATTTCTCGCTCGCATAAATATCGCTGTTGCTTCCCTGTCTCTCTGTCCAAGTCTTGGGGGGCAGGCACCAGTCGGGCCCCAAAATGCACCGAGATATCGAAAGACGAGTTGCGCCCGTTTTCTCACGAAAACGCGGTAATAAAAAATTAAAAACATATTCCTGGGCACATTTTCTCCCTCCTCTGAATTTTGACTTCGCTTACTTCCGCCCCTTCCATAAGAAGCCGATTACTAACGACAAGCTGCATTTCCTCGCGCGGAATAAGTACCATTAAAATAAATGGAAAAATACATTTCACGCCACGAATGGGCACTCCAGATTACCTACCTTCACCTGGGTTACTCTACAATGGTAGTAAATAACTTCACTACATATCGCTCACGTTATTCCGTTCGATTGAATAGTTTAACAAAGACTAACTCTGGAAGTATTGGCTAACTCTAAGCGTCCGCCGAGCGTATCGCGAAGAGGGGGAAACCTTCCAATCATTGGTCGTTATCACTTATACCTGAACCCATAAAATTCGGACTCGTAATTCTACCTATTAGATCGCGTACAGATCGAAAAAGGGATCCGGGATTCCGATACGGAACGGTATTCGCGAGCATATTCCCTTTTCTTCTCTTAACACTAGATTGCCGGAACGAGTCAATTTGACTCATTTGCGATTTTATTGCTACATATATCTGGAAAAACTTAAATGATTTATTTTTAAAACATGTTAATTTTTAATAAAATTATGAAATGTATACAAATGTTAATTCCTTCCTCTCCCCACTCCTTAGTTCCAAAAATCCATATGTGTTATACCTATTTTGACGGATGTGAGTCAAATTGACTCACTAAATATTTTTAAAGTTGGTCGTTTAACATACATGTAACTTATTTCTTGTCCATTGAAATTTTTTGTAACCAATCTGATTCGATAGTTTTCATGTTCAAACTTGTCAATATACTAGTTAGATATCTATTGCAAACTCGCACATTCAATATTGTGAAATTATTCGTTGCGTCTTTTTTGTTGGGCTTTTATGAAAGCTCTGATAAAAAACTCTTTGTGGTCTTCCATTTCGATTTATGGCATTGGAGAGAATAATGCATTTTTGGTAACACAAAAAAAAATAAATTTTATAAATTATTTTTGAAGAGTTTTTGCGTACCAAGGTAATTTCAGAATTTATTTATAAGATGTATTTACGTAAATGTAAATAAATATTTTAGTTCTAGATAAGGGTTGCTATTATGATAAAAAATGTAAGAGATCTTGAATTGCGAAAAAAAACTGACCCAAATAAGAGGAAACCAATCAGATATCGAATCCTATGCATCTGATAACGAACTATATGAAATAGAGAATCAAGCTAATAGGATTGAATTTTCGAGCAGTGAAGATGAAGATCTGCATCATACAGCTCTTAGAAAAGAGAAGATCTTGTTTTCTATCTGAAAGTGAATGAAGTGCCAGTGATAGTGATCGTTATATAACTCTTGGCAAAAAAAGAGTACGATATATTCCTGACTTTGAAACCGAAAGTGAATTAGACCCTGCAGATAGATCCGATAACGAAGAAATTTCAACGCAAAGGGCTGCTGATGGGACATTATGGGAAACATTGAAAGATGATAAAAATACTGGTAGATTTCCCGGTCATACCAAATTCAAAGTCATCTCAGGGCCAACTTCCTACGCCAAAAGAAATATTATACTTGGTACTGTAAAGAGTGTTTCCAGAATATATATGTAAGAATTGTTTTGAATAAAGTTTCATTAAAATAAAATTTTATTATTTTTTTTTTAATTCAATTTTGATGTTGAGTCAAATTGACTCATTTCAGGCAAAATGCATATGTACCTAATATCCGGCAATCTAGTGTTAATCTGTTAGGTCTCAGAAATATTCGTGAGACTCGGAGAGAATTTTCGAGCCCGCGAGTCGAGTCAATCGCCGGCGGCGCCGCGGAAAGGCGTCGCGACGCGGCGCGGATCGAGCGGATCGGCGCGGTTCTCGGAACCGAAAGAAGGCGCGGGCCCCGTCGACGTCGATGTGTCGGTGTCGGCATCGCGGCCGCTAATTCTAGCCATGTCCATTCGCGACACGTACTCGCGGCGTTGTAGCGTGCGCGCGCGGTACGTGCAATGCGTGCGCGCTAGACGTGCACGCGGCACGCACTCCCTTACGTGCCCGGCTGTCGGGGACGGTGCAGGGTGCACCGTAATTGCCGCCCTCCCTTTTTCCATACACACCGAGAAAACAATGAAATTTAAATATCATTCTCTGGAAATAAAATTTACTTCGCTGTTCTTCTATATTCAAACTGGCTAGAGTTATTCTCAATTAACAGTCGTACCGAGACATGAAGTGGAGGGTATACAAGATGCACCGTAATTACCGCGTTCCCTTGTTCTTTAACCTCCAAGACGAAAAAAAAAAATGTCGAAATAAAAAAAGAAATTCATCGTTTTCTTAGGATCTATTTAAATCGGCAGAAATGCACCTCGAATCGCAGGGAGGCAAATTGTAATGCCATCTACTAAATTATCCGATATGCATGGATATTGTCGCCCTCCTCTTTTCCATCCTTCGCCGCTCCAAAAATTGAGATTAAAAAAGTTCCCTCGAGTTCACTCGGTTCTTCATCGCTCTCTCCCAGGATCCATTAAAATCGGCGGAAATCGTCCTCGGATCGCAGTCATACCGTGACGCGATTTCCGCGGAAGCGGGGATTTTAATAAGACCCAGGGTCGTTCGAGGGTGCGTCGGAATCGCGGTTTTCGTTCCGTTCCACTTCGCAGTCCATATTCATTAGCTCGCTCGACTTCGGCCGGTGCATTTTCAGCCTTCGACCGGTGCATTTTCAGCCTTCGGTCGGTGCATTTCCGGGCGCGGCCGCGTAGCGCGTTGCACATAAGAATGCACGAGTGCGAGCGCCTCCCCGACGGGGGTTTTCGTCTAGCTCGACTTCCTGCTCGCAATCTAGTTCGTTGCGAGGCATAGGGGACACGTCGAGATAGCGACTGCATAAATCCTGGGGTAAAAATATGTATCGGGCGTCGGGGCCGCGTCGATACTCACCCCGGGATGCAACGCGAGGGCGTCGTCTTGGGGTGCGAAGGCCAGACCAACGGGCTCGGCTAATACCGAGGAATTGTTTGCACCGCAGGGCAGGGGGCGATGCTAATAAGGGGTGGGAAATTTTCGAGGAGGGTAAGATCAGAGAGGGTCCTCTCGCCCCGGCGGATGATTGCGAGACATCTTTGTTCGACGCTCCGCGGGGGGTATTCCTCCCCTATTCCGCCCTCGGCCAGGCGCGCTTTTCCCCCGGAGGACAACAGGGAAATTTTCTCCAGCCAACTTAAAAAAAAAAAAAGAGAGAAAAAAGGAATAACGCAGCGAGACGAGGGTGCAGATGCTCCCTCTTCCGGAGGAGAGAGAGAAGGTAGAGGTGATGGGCGAAATAGTTGCTCTTGGTCTTGGTTGGTCGAGAAATGATTTCGAAAAAAAAAAAGAATTTTTTAGGAATCTTTTCGAAGGAATTTGGAGCCATTTTGTAAAGTCCCTTCGGAGCTTGATCTTGCTTAATCGAGGGACAATTCTGAAGAAAAAGGAATTTTTGAAACTATAGCCTTGAAGGAACTTAGAATCATTTTACAAGACGCAGCTTTGACCTTACCAGTTTTGGCACATCACCCTCAGATAAAAAGATGTCATTGATCCAAAGAAATATTTCCGTCAATTCGAGGAATGATTATTCCATGCGGACAAACTCGAACAAATTGGATGCAACGTTCATTCGGAATTGTGACAATCTATTCGAGTGAATTAATTAATTCTTGGAATTAAGAAAATATTTCTCCGGTCTAATGGATTATTTTTCTCTCGGCCTAGCGATGGACCCGTTGAGCCGGGTATTGATTTTACAGTATACCGTTTTTAATCCCGACATCTTTCAGTATTCGAGGTCTTGGTCCTGCTCACTCGAGCATTCAATTTTGCAAAAAGTGCAAGGCAGATTCTGTTTATCCCTACTCGGTGGCTCCCGGGATCAACGGCACGGAAAACGGAATTACATAATCGAGCGTTTCGCAATCGACGCTCGTAACTTTCGGTCGGCCGAGTCCCAACCTGGAAGGTGGCTCGCTTCGTCCATTTTATATATATATATTTTTTTTTTCTTCGCTCCCTCCCCATCTTCCCAGGATTATAGCGACTGAAATTGTATAATTCGGCTGCCGGGAATGAGGAAATTTGATAAAGCTTCCGTGTCGATTCGACGATTTCCAACCCTCCGTGGGCCAGATCGTTACACACGAGATATCGCGTTGATAATCGCAGGTGGCCTCGAAAAGCGGGAGGGTGGATCGTAACCCTGTCGAGGGAAAGACCTTGGTCGGCCATTTTGAATTTCTACAGTCAATCTTCAGCGATTTTACGTGCGTTTACGTGTCTATGTGTGTGATCGATGGACTGTTTGCGTAAGACTTGGCCTGCTCCCCTTTACCTCTCCGCCGCGAACTTCGATTCCGCTCCCTCTATGAATAATTCGAATAACTTTGTCTCCTTCTTTCTTCTCAAAACAGGGGTCGTAATTGAAGTGTACCTAATGTTCAATTTCCGAGCTACGAGTTCGGGAACTCTATAACGGACACGTCAGGTAGGAACTTTGCACCTCGTCTTTGCAACTTTCCACCAGGCGCGTTAATACTAACGA